TCCTTGCATCACATTATAGTTGACAAAGAGCTCTTTTTAGCAGTTGGAGACGTGGCTTTTCCGTTTTCTGTGTGTTCTGTGTGTTTGCTTGGACCTTGACTACCTATTTTCTAATGTATACACAAGGTTGAGAACCACTGTATAAGGAACAACATGGCTTCTGGGATGACTGCCTGAGGCCAGGTGAAATCAAGGCCTTGCCCTAATTGTTAAAGCTCTTGAAGTAAATGTTTTCCTTCATAAATACTTCAGCATTTTTCTCACTGTTTTATTGTTTAAACAAGCATTCTCCAAAATTCTCTGAGTATACACCTCTAACAATAAAAATGTTGAGCATTATACATGGGGAGTATTATGAATATGTTTTATTTACAATTTATTTAATACACATGGGCGCATATATTTCCAGTTTACAATTCTAAACTGTATTTAACTGCGTCTAGGTGTTCTTTTTCTACACATAGGTCAAAATGTGTACCTGCAAAAACAAAACAAGATGGCGACGATTTGAAGTAGCCACATCTGAAAAAAATTCATTATTATAGGGATATTTCCTTTATTAAATTTTTTCAGACAAAATTAAATTACTGATGCATGATCTTCAAAGAAGAGATTTTTATCTGTTCGGTTTTTGTGTATGTGAATGGTGGAGGGCAGTAGTTCTGCATTAGAAAATTTAATCAGCCTACCTCGGTTTCTCACCCAAAGAGATTTCTTTTTTAAAAAAGAAATTAGGACCATTTAAGGATATTGTCTTATATTTATGATTATTTACTTTAACCCTTACAAGCAGCCCCATGAGGTAGGGTCAATTGTTATTTTCACTTTACGTATAAGGAAATTAAGGCATAGAGTTTAAAGTCATAGTCAACTTTTTACACAAATTCTTAATGGTATTGAATGTCCAATGTAAAGTTATTTCAAAGAGATCACTGCAATATCAAAATAAAATTTTGTTTCATTTGGTTTAAGTGTTAAATATATTTTACTATAACTCATTGAAAACTGGTTACTCTAGAGACCACATTACTTTCAGATAATCTGGGCAATCAGAATCCTCCATTAATTGATCAGACCAGATGTCAAAATTCGGGCCATGTCAACTTCTGCTTTTTTTACGCTGTGGTTACTAGCAACCATTATTTTAAGGATGGTTTACGCTCAGACAATGTTTCTCAGTGGTGTTACTAGCATTTTGAGGGAAATGCTCCTTTGTGCAGAGGGTATACCAGTTATTGCGATGCCTTTAGTTCACATGCGGACCCTCACTCGCTAAATAATGTCTTTCCCCAGTCATAATTTGCAGTACTCCCTAAGCAACCTTGACAACCACTGAACTACTGAAGGACGGATAAATTAACTCCTGCAGCGAGTAACTTATGTTAATTTACCTTATACCAGTAGTTAATAGTGTCTTTTGTTAGTGTGATACTCAGAAGTGTTTGGAATTATATTTGAGTAGTGTTGCCAGAGTTAGCAAATGAAAATACAGGACACCTGATTATCTGGTAACTCTATATTAGAGATAATATAATGCTAGTGTCCTATCCTGGTGTCTCTTTAACTCACCCACTCCAGATCACTAACAAATTGGAAACTCACTTGTTTGAGATTTAGAAAAGCATGTGTGAAGTGACACATCTTATATTTCAAATTTGTAGTGGCTAAAGGAATACTTTCATCAAATAAAAATCTAATTTATATTGACAAAGAGTCTGTTGAATGCACGTAAAAACAAAATACTGATGGACATTTATATTTATCCTGCTACAGGTGTTTGATGTTGTTCATTCTTTAACTACAATATAATTAATAAGTTCCACAATTGCTTATTTATTTTGTTGTTGTTGTTGTTTTGTTTGTTTTTAAATCCACTATAGTTTACATACAGTGTAATATTAGTTTCAGGTGTACAATACAGTGATTCAACACTTCCATACAACACCCAGTGTTCATCACAAGTGCACTCCTTAATCCCCATCACCTATTTCACCCGTCGCCCCACCCACCTCCCCTCTGATAGCCATCAGTTTGTTCAGTATAGTTAAGAGTTTGTTTCTTGGTTGGTGTCTCTCTTTTTTCTTTGCTACAATTACGTATTAAAAAAAAAAAATAAAGACAGCGAGGGCCAGCAACTTAAGCAGTAGAGCAAACCAGACTAAAATTACTTCATATCAAATCCCAGAAGGTTCCTGAACTTAATTTCTTGTAGATTAAGAGAATTATAGAATTGTAGAATTAAGGGAATTATAACAAATAAATTCAGCTTCATTATTCAATTGTGAAAACAGAGCTATAATGTTTCATGCAATCTCTATTGGCATGACTGACCCTAAAGAGGAAACTGATAAGGCATTATTATCACATAATATCATATTTCAATTGAATACGTATTCATGTACACCAGCTTTTCTGTTTGTTTCATATATTAAAAAATGACAGTCCCTTAAGGAAGAAATGCCACAATAAATGAAAGACCTTTTAACCCACAGTAAAGAAACATCACAAAGCCATTATGAATGATGCAGCAGGTTTAGGAAAGTGAAAGCTGCTATTAAATATGACAGGCTATCACAACAATAGAAATAGTAATCAATGTAATCATAGCAATAAAATAATATTTGTGTTTTGTTTCTTTCAAGGAGTTAAAATAACGGACATCTTTTCTAAGTTAACAGTTTCACATAATATGGCAAAATGATAAAAAGAAAGATAAAAATCTCTAAATCTGAAGCATATTAAAATTATTTAAAGTCTGCTCTACACACTTTTGTTTTTCTCAAAATTTCTTTTGAGATAATTGCATTTATATTCTTTTTCCTTTCCTGTGCATGATTATGTTCTTTTGTTTTTTGTTTTTTGTTTTTTTTTTTACAATCTAGTATTCTTTTTTCTAAGTTTGTTTGTTCGTTTGTTTGCTTTTGAGCGAGAGTATGCACACAAGCAGGGGAGGGGCAGAGAGAGGGAGAAAGAGAGAATGGCAAGCAGGCTCTGCCCTGGACTCAAACTGAACGAACCATGAGATCATGACCTGAGCTGAAATTAACCAACTTAACCAATTGAGCCACCCAGGTGCCCCTACAATCTCATATTCTTGAACCAAACTTCTTATCACTTGGCTTCAGTAAGTCCATAATCAGCTAGAATTGGAATATTTCTGTTTTTACCGCCTATAATAAAATCTGAATTTCTTATAATTATTTTCTCTGTTGTAAAATCACCACTTCTTTTGTAACTTTAAGAATACGGTATAAATATATAATTGTCTCTACCTGGCATTCAGTAATGCTCCCTGGTGATGGGTACTTTCTCAGACAGTGTTGAAACATTGCAACGTGGAAAATGCCTTGCATGGGAAACATTGTACATGAGGAAATTTTGTGCTCAATGATATATACACCCCATGTAATAGCAAAGGAGAAATTAGATTCATTGTTCATCAAAAGTTCCCTCAGAACTACTGCTTGGCACTTTAGCCACATCTCTTCATGTTTAAGGGATTCAAACTCTGCTGGACCTTTCCACTAAAGCCTCATAAAATCAACAGCAAAACCAGCTTAATTACAGCATTTGATTTTCTTTCCATGCTTTCTTTATTCCAATGCACAATAAATAGGCCTCACCCATTAAAATATACATTGTAACTTCGCTTTCTAAGCATTTCTAAAGATCTAAGAAATCCTGGCTTTTCTTTAGCATCAGCTCTCTCTGTAGAAGCAAGTTGTATAGAATGTGTTATACCAGGTCCCTTTAATCCTGGTCAGATTTCAAACAGGCTATGAATTTTAACATATTTTAGGTGCGAAATTTGTGTCAAGGAACAGAGTGAAGTCTCTTCAAAAATGTAAGACTTGCTAAAACTGAGCCTGAGAGGATTGATTCAAGGTCTCTTTATTTGAAAACTGCTGGGCCTGATTGGAGCTTCAGGGGCCCCAAATGATGTGCATTCCTTATAACCATCAGTGTAACTTGCTTTTAGAGTGTTACTGTGATTAAACTTAGATATACCATATCAGTTACCAGTACTGCCCATGCACTGATAGTGCATGTATATTAAATTTTCCTCTGAATGATTTTAGTGTCTTTCAGGTCATTGAGATACCAAATTATAATGCTGTTATTCCGAACTGAAGGGTTTCTGATTCATATTCAGAGAATAGCAATCTCCCAAATAGGAAATGCTCATTATTTATTTTTAATCTACACTGGGAAGATTTTGTCCTAGGAGTCTGCCACCTAAGTGACATCACTTCCCTTTTTCATGCCTTAGTTTGCTAGTCTATAAATGAGAATTTTTTGACTGGATGACCTATGATGTCTTTTCCAGCTCTGACATTCTTTTATTCACAATTCATGATATAATCTTATGAATAAACTTCCAAGTGGTTTCCTGTTGGGTTTTTTTGCTTCACAGTAGCCTTCTTAAAAGTGAAAAAACGTGTGGTTCTACCTTTGAAAGCTGTGTCTTCTCCCTAATAGAAAGGTGTAACAAATTAAGAATTGTGGATATGGATTTCCTTACTGCTATTTCAAAAACATATATAATTGCTGGGTGGTGTAAAAGCTTTCCTCATTTTAAGCACCACTGCTGATAGACCTAAAGCAAAACACTGCTTCTTCCAGTGCAGCTTTGATCTCAGATCCCGCTGTGGCTGTCTCCTGCATGTCTGTCACTCATGTGGACGACTCTGCAAATAGACAACCTCAGTGACTTTTATTTATATCTGCTTTGTCAAATGTAGGTTTAGAAATTTTATCTTCACATTCTACTACTTGTACATCGTTTGGGATTGTAACTAGTTAAGAGTACTTTCTTTTCAAAACCTAAGTTGATTTTTTTTTTTAATTATGAATAAAAATGCATTCATTCCTTTTAATTTTATAGCTTCCTTGTAAGGTTTGATGTTTTTATTAATGATAGGATTTTTTTCCCCAGTTAAATGATCAACAGCTTTTCCACAAATAGATTTTGATTAATGTCCATTTTTATCTCTTAAAAGGATCCTTCCCGGCCATTGGGGTGGAGGCGTTTTGCCCCAGCTTCCTGAGGGCAGGGTTTTTAAATAGCATCCAGGCCCCGCATCCAGTGCCAGGGGGAGGATCTCTGCCCCCCAGGATTCCTGCTGGTAGGTATTTCAGGTGAAGTTTTCTGCCACCATATACAGCACAGGACTGTGCTCACAACTGAAAGATACACAATACAGAAATAAATATTTCTAAGATATATTGTTGAAAGAAAATACAAGTGACCTTTCTTTAATTCAGGGACCACATTTATAATATCTAATGCCGTGAAAGTGGTAAAAGGAAGTGGAAGACAGATCTGTAACCTGAACACCCAGTTAGCATACTGCTGCTGCCTCCTCTAGAATAATTTTTACATAAATAAGGACTAGAGCTTCAGATCTCAAATTTTATAACTCAAGAATAAAAACAAGATAAAGTGGAGCTACTTTGCCACTTGGAATTCACTAGAAAAGAGAATTAAAAACAGCATTATTGACAGGCAATTCCGTGTTTGCGCAAGTTTATAGAGATTTAATTAAAGTTTAATTTTACTAAAGAGAAATGATTGGAAGAAAAGCCAGAAAGTAGCAAATTTGAAACTTGAAGAACTTTTTTGAAAAAGAAAATTAATGCACAGTTTCCCCTTAAACATGTCAGTCTGACCAAAGCTGTATTTTATCAATGAAAGAAAGAAAATACAGGGAATTGAGCATTTTTCTTCATGTTTATTTATTTATTTTGAGACACAGAGAAACAGAGAGCAAGTGAGAGAGGAGCACAGGCTCTATGCTGACAGCACTCCAGGGCTTGATCCTACCAACGATGAGATCACGGCCTGAACCAAAATCAAGAGCTGGATGTCTAGCCGACTGAGCCAGGCAGCACCCCAGAAATCGAAAATTTTAAAATGCAATTTCAGGGGCACCTGGGTGGCTCAGTTTGGTGAAGCATCTGACTTCAGCTCAGGGCATGATCTCGTGGCTCATGAGTTTGAGCCCCTTGTCAGCCTCTGTGCTGACAGCTCAGAGCCTGGAGCCTGCTTCAGATTCTGTGCCTCTTCCTCTCTCTGTCCCTTCCCCACTCACTCTCTGTGTCTGTCTCACAAAATGAATAAACATTAAAAAAATTGGTAAAAAATACTTTTAAAAATGAAATGAAATGAAATGAAATGAAATGAAATGAAATGAAATGAAATGAAATGAAATGAAAT